TCGTAAATGATGCAAATATTCTCTACAAAGAAAGTTTATCAAGGTGTATTTATTCTTGTTAACTCTCTAAGATCGTGGTACATATGTCTGTACCACCTAACGAAGGGAGACAGAATAAATGGTCACGTTTCGAATTTCAATTTTCAATTGTTCAATACATTGTATTAAAAAAATCAAAATATATCACAAGATACAACTTGAAAAGCCCTGCAATGTACAATATAAAGCTGAGTTTATGCATATATTTTTTGTTTTTAAAATAGACAAAATTCTATGCGATCGTTTTTCGAAGATCTTCTTATTTCTTTTTTGTCTTAACTGACTTGTTATTATGTAGTTCATATGTGTCTCTAACAAGTAATATCAAAACTAATATGGGAACATAATTGCAACACTTATCGATGGTCTAAATTTGGTCATCGATTATGACTTTTTGATATGATTCATTAAGAAAATGAATTTATCATGTATCAGTAAAGGATTTGGTTTTCAGCATCGAAAATTGATCGCAGAGTGTTCTCCATTTTAGAAACAAAAAGTGCATATATAAATAAGCCTTACTTTGTAGATTGTAGAGCTTTTCACGCTGCATATTGTGCTATATTTTGTTTTTTAAAACGCCTTCATCAGCGATTGAAAATCGAAATATAAAACTCGACTATTTATTTTGATCCATTGTTGCTTTTTGATTTAAAAAAAAGTCAACCTTCAAAGAGTGAAAGATTAAGCGTATATGCACGTCTTATCAGTTACACAGCTTCCACGTTTTTTTTGTCTCTATTCTGTGAATATACGCATATGTAAGCAGTTATTCGTATTCTTTTGACATGATAAAGTGAATACGAAAGAAAACTCTCGAATCAACTAAGTAGAGTAACTGAGCAGTAATCATGGAAGGAAAGACGATGAAGTTTAATATTTTGGCTACAACTTCTGTTTTTTCATTCTTTTAAAATTTTCTTCAAAAATCACCTTGAAAATATTTTCTCTACGATCTGGTAAAATTTATAAATCAAAATCTTCTAAGTACACGTATTTGCAAGATGTTCCTTAATCAGTGTTCGATTCATTCTTGATGGATAGAACACGTAATCTCGCAGATGCAATTGGAATGAATCTGGAATTCTAACGAGTTCTGCTATCATTATTTTTCTATCATTCTGTACTAATCTTAAGATTTTATGTCATGATTATAGTTTTCAAGCAAGCTTGTAAAAACAACTCTGAAAAATGATTTCAGGGTGTGGGCATGAGTTTACTTTCAGTTCTTTACACTCACGTCAAATTAAAAAGAATGATAAAATTTAATATTCTATTTAAAAAATATTTCTATCACTTTTTAAATGTATTAACATAGGAAAAAATCATTCAAAAAGAAAAGAAGAAAAAGAATCAAACATTACCTTTTTTTAATACTTTATATGAATATATATTTATTCTGATGATGACTACACGATATATAACTAATCTTATAATATATTGTATGCTAGGACATTTTTCGATTTGTTTTTTACTGACAATCTTACTTTTCATTTCAACATAAAACACAAAATTAAAATCCAAGATAAGTAAAACCATAGGCATGATTATGACAAAAAAACGTACGAGATGAAGAATATCTTCTCTGAAGGATTTCCGAATTTCGTCAATAAGACTTTCCCTTATTGATGAAATTCTGGTAAGTCTCTCTGAATTGTGCCTTTCTTCGAGTGCAGTCAATATATATTTTATTAGTGTAAAACACAAATCTGGGTGTTTTGAACATAAATAATAATGTCTTATAATATTTATTACTATTCTCATGACATTTGTCTACTAGATGCTTCTTTAAGATTAACTTTTACTAATAGAATTTGTATTTAATGAATACATAGGTAATACTGAAACATAGTATTTAAAAATCTATTTATATGATGTCTTTGTTTGATTCTATTCAGTATTTAACTTCTATTTATACGTAATATGTTTTTTAATGAATGTATTATTTAAATCAGTATATAGTATTCTAGAAATCACATTTATTAGTTACATATATTATAATCATCATGAAAATAAATCAATATTATATAAAGTATTAACAAAAAAAAATGATAGAAGCTAGTTTTTTTAAAGAAAAACGACCTATAATCAGCATATATAGAAATAATTTATTTCAACTGTATTCTTACAATATCTTGATGTAGTTTATTCTTTTTAAATCGAATTATATTAAGAATATCTGATGGACACTTAATCTTGTTTTAATTAGTTACAAAGGCATGCCCCTAATTGGTTCCCAATTTCGTCTCCCACGAATTCGTCCCTCCTTAATTGTTTCCGAATTCGGACCCACTATAGTATACTGGAAACCGTTATAGTTCAACACCTTTCCCATCCGAACAGTTGAAGTGAAATGAAGCATATTTCAATATTATTACAAGTAATCAATGCTTACTATAAAATAATGTTGATCAGTCAGCTACAAGGTTCCGAATGGAATGTAGAAACAAAATGTTTCCGTATACTTTGTTTAACTTAGTAACGTGTATGTGTACACTTAGCTTTTGCGAGCAAAGGATAGCAAAGTGTATAGATTGAAGTTTGCCATATAATCTAGAAAAAATAGATTTGTTCATTTTTATATGTTCAGAAATATAAAACAAATGTAAAATATTAAATAAACAACACATAAGCATACAATTATTACCTAATATGACATCAGTAACAGCATATTTCCGAAAAAAAAATACATATGAACGTTGCACTTTAGCAAAAATCAATCAAAAGTTCGATCTTCATCTTTTTCATGATGCATATCTATATGATCATCACAGAACCATATTGAATAAATATTTATACCAAATTTGATTCTACAATAATTATCTTCATTAGCACTTAGAATAAAGATAATGATTAACTACATTCTGATTCTACTAAAGTCGAACCACGATTCGTCACTGAAACTTCATTGTTACTAGATAATTCAGTTAATGTTACTTGAGTTTTACTCATCTGAAACAAAAACAATAAAGATTTTCATTATTGATGTAATGAAAATATTGAATTAACAAACAATCTATATCTATCTATGTATCTAGAAAAAAGCATAGAAAACAGAATGTTATTAGAAAAAAGAAAAAGAAAGGTTAATCGGCAATAAAATTCATCAAAAGAGCTTGTATTATACATTTTATTCTTCACTAATATTGATACGAATTGATATCCAAACAGATTTTTCGATAAAAAACAAAGTGTAAATTTCGTAAACACAGTGTACTTAGTACACACTGCTTTTGACAACAGTGTGTAAAACAGCGTGTTTTTCTCATTTAGCAAGGGTTTCGTACACTTTGCTTCTGCATCGTACACTTGCTGTTCGGAACCTTGGTTGCAGCTATTCATTTTGGGTAATAATAATTGGCCGAAATTTCGGCCTACGGCCTACACGGCCTACGAATTCGATTCGTTCTTGAGAAGTGTTAAAGGAACCAATACGCGATGTTCCATAGTTTACCTTTATTGGATATATAGTGTATAAGAAAGAAACTTACGTTTTTTTTTATAATTCTAAGCCTATATTTATACGAATTAATGTAAATATGTAAAAGAAGAATATTCTGTATAGCACGACCTCTTTTCATTGATTTTACTATCAGTTAATCTTTTTTTCTCTAGTTTCATTTCTTCTTTTTTCTATTTTAATTTCCATTCAGAACCCTGTTAACATTTAAGACTTAAAAAGTATTAAAACTTAATCAGAAATACTATGTATAAGTTCCTCTCATAAGAAAATATAAACTAATTCAATAAAGTTTAAACGATTTTCATAAATTTATCTTATTTAACAAGTATTAATGACATAGTATGTTTTAAAGCAACGTTTGTGCATTTAATTGTTTTAGATTTACAAGTACTATTTATCTAGGATTTTTTTTTGAATTGTTATATATTGGAATATATTTTGTACTTGATTATGAGTACAAATGATTTAGCATCTAATATATGTAAGGCTTATATGAAAATATTGCTAATTAAAAATTTCTTGTCATTTAGTGATTACTCAATCACATAATAAATTAAGTTTAAACGATCTTAATTATGCATTACAAAGTGAAAAAAAACTTGAGAAATTACCAGACAAAATCGAAGTGAATATTCTCTATTGTCTTGCACTTGCACCAAATACTAGGGGCAAGCTTTAATCTTTTCATTCTTCTAGTAGAGTTATGTTTCGTGCATTTAGATGCCTATAAATATGATAATTATTCTTGGAAAAATGTACGTTCAACAGAATATCCGAAAAGAAATCCACAATTTACAAAAATTTATTATTCGTGTATAAACTCGGACAAAAAAAAAGATGGTCGTTGCGTGAAACACGTCTTCATTTCAAAAACAAACAATCTAGATGTTTTGGTTTATTATCAAGGTAAACTAGTTTCATTTAGGACAAAATTACTCGTTGACAGATAAAGCCAATGGGACCTGTTAGCATACTTTACTGTATAAATCCATAATAGGAAATGAGCTTTATATAGACTATTTATAGGATCTTGTATTTAAACACTTCCTTTCATCTGCATTGTTATTGTTGTACCTGCCCATACTTGCATGCGGTGTCTGTAATTTTGACCAAAACCTTGATGCTAATATCCAAAAGTGCATTCGATATAGTCACTTATTCTGAATCATGCATAAGTTCTAAAAACTAAGCCTACGTTGCGAACTTATGTTGTCACTTATAATCAAAGAAAAAATAGATTTACAAGTGATGCCATGTTAAAGTAATCAGGCGATAGTTTCGAAAACTTGGTTACTACATTACAAAAATCTTGAGCATTAAGAAATTTAAAATAGTCAAATAGATTTAGTGAATTGTTTTCCCATTATAATATTTTTTTTCAGGAAATCTTGAGATTGCCACAAAGCACCCACATGGCAATTCTAAATTGAAAAATCCACATGCCTTACATTACACACCACAATCAACTATTCAACAAATCGATCAACTTGTAACCACAATGTCAGGAGCTACTGCTTATAAAACAATAATCGCTAAAAATGGTGGTGTTGATGCTCCTCGTAATGCAACACAGTGCAATTATAGACGTCAAAAATTTTTGAACAATCAAAAAGTTAGCCACGATGAACTTTCAAATGTAATTCTTCTGTCGTACGAGTTGAACGAGTTTTACAAATTGCTACAATTGCAACCTGAAACATTAGTCGTTTTAATGCACGATCAAATGAAAAATCATTTTCTAAATGTTTCTCGAATAGCCAAAGAAATAATACCATTATACTACGATACTACATTCAATCTTGGTGAAATATACGTTTCCGTATGGATATCAACATTAAATATATATATATTTCAATACACTTCTTTTTAGATACTGGCATTTCGAAACGTAATCTTCTCCGAACGACCAACACATCCATTAGCCATAGTCATGCATGATAGGAAGCTTCAAACGTGTCATGAACGTTTTGTACAAGTTATTTTCAATGAACTGCCAAATCTTCACAAAAAATGTGTTCTTATAACTGATGCTGAAGATGCACTAAAGAATGCTTTTCGAAAACATTTTCCAACAATGTGTCAATTACGTTGTTGGAATCATTGTATGTCTGATATTGGTGCAGCTGCTAAAAAATATTTTTTTGTTGGAGAACAAACAAATGTTGCTGCTCATGGTGATAATCAAATGTGTAAAAGAGAAATTATTGATCATGTTATCGATACAATTAAAAATCTTTTACGTGCACAATCTTATGATGAATTTTATGAAAAGTATAGAAGTGTTTGTTTTCAATGGCCAAAACAATTTCTTGATTACTTCGAAACAAACATTTTACCTGTTGTTAATGAATTAGGTAATTATACATATACTTAGTCGTTTTACTTTTTCAGGACCTCACGTTTCTGAAGATATAGTATAAAGACTGAGATTATCATTTGATGACCAATGATTCAACAAGTCGACTTATCCTCTTGAATATTTTTAGTCGATGAACTATGCA